CTTCCTGCAGGAAAGCGGCTCCCCCACGAGCGGGGGTCTCCCCGCGATGTGGAGGCTCCTGCTGGAAGAGGAGGCCGAGCCCCGGCTCCTTCCCATGGCGAGGGCTGCAGCCTCCCTGCTCAGTGCGGCCTCTCCTCCCCTCTCCATCCTGCAGCTCCCAAGGCCAAGCGCCCGCGGCTGGAGGCCGTCAAGAAGCTGGACTTTGGCATCCATGACGAGCTGCTCCCCGATTTCCACCCGGATGCCGTTGCCTCCCCGGCGGCACCCGCTGCCCCGCAGAGCGCCAGGTTAGCGGCTGGCGCGGGCAGAGCCGCGTTCGCTTTGGGAACCGCGTTAGTGCCACAAGCTGCTTTTCCCATGGGAACCACGTTGGACCTTCCACCACGCTGGGTGGGAAGGGGCTCAGTGGTGCCAGGGACCCACTGCATCTCTCTTGGCTTGGCCCTGGGACCTGTGTTGGGGGGCATAGGGGTTTGGGGTGCTGCCGTCGTGGCTCAGGGACCCAAGGGGCACCAGAATGGACCTAGCAGGACGTCATCAGTGTGTCCCAGCGCCTCTAGGGCTGGCCCTGCTGGAGCAGGGGGACGTGCTCCTTCCCAACGGAGTAGCATGTTGTTCCAGCGGTTTAATCCCCTCTGGCTATGAGGGAAATCCTCCTATGGTTAAGCTACGGGGAATTAAGGCTGCTTTAGTTCTGAATGCAGATGTCCATGCGGGAATTTAATGTGTTTCCATTTGTGACCTATTAACCTCCCACCTTCAGCTGCTTCCTCTGCGTTTCCCTGAGCAGCATCGGGCAGACCCAGGCCCTCACGGTGCTGCTGAATCCATACAAATTTCATCCCTAGGGTGGGGACTGAAGCGCTCTTTCTCTTGCCTCCCTCTAAAGGGGAATGGCGTTCTCCAGCTTGGACCACCTGGGTATGAGTGACATGGTTCCTCTGCAAACCACGCCGCCCTCCGAGAAGAGCCCGAAGCGAGTGCTCAAGCGCCCGCCCATCCTGGAGGACTACGTCAACGTGACGTCCACCGAGGGCACCCGAGTCTTCCTGGTCCTGAGGGAAGATTGCTCCAGGACAGGGGTGGAGGTACGAGGAGCTGGGGGCTGCACCTGCGAGCTCTGCTTCAAGGTTATCTTTAATAAAGTGCGGAAGGCGGGTTTGCGCCGTGCATCGGTGTGATGAGGTGTGTGCCGTCCACAGCTCCCCGACTCCCTGGGCTGGAACGCGCAGCGGCCGCTCTACTTGCTGGGGGTGCCTTTCTCCTACCTGAAGGAACAAGTGTACGAAGAGGTATTGAGTCTCATCCCTACCCTCCAGGCTTCCTCTGCTGCCCCTTGAGCTGACACCCGGGGACAGAAGTGGTTTCCCCCAGCAGGGAGCCTGGCGTCCCTGCCCCACGGGGCAGTGGTGGCTCTCAAGGCCCCGCTCGCTGGGCAGTCACGAGCGAGCGGAGCCTCTGACTCCCCGCTCGGCCTCTTCATGTTCCAGCGTCGACGGCAGGTTCTGGAGGCGTCGCAGCAGCTCACCGAGATCATAAACAGGTGAGTTGTTTGGCAGTCCCCGTCCTCGCCGTGCCCTCGGATGTGGCTCCTGGATCCGCTCCAGGAGGTTTCCTTCTTCGTCCAGCCACGAAGCGCCTGTGAGCAGAGGAGCCTCTTGACACTCAGCACCCTGGGGAAGCAGTTTAATTCCCAGCTCTGCCCACGCTCCCTGCGGGGCTTGGGGCACGCTGCTATGAAACAAAGATAATTTTTTCAAGTCTTTGACAGGTGCCTTGTTCATCTGGGCTCTGGCCTTTGGGAGAAAGTCTGCCCTTTCCTTTGGGAATATGCACGTGCTAATGCTGCAAGGTCCTTACCTAGGAGCATTGCCCTAAGGACTTCTGTATTAAAAGATGAAATGGGAATATTTATATGCAGCACCGTGATCCATCATCTCTGTCAAGAGCATCAGCTTTGCAGATTGCTCTGGCTGCTGAAAGGGTTTGGAGGAATGGAAAGTGTGAGCGTGGGGATAGCACTGTCACTGAAGGGACACAGTGCTGAAGGACGCAAGTGACGGGTCCTTGGGCTGAGCCTGTCGGGGCTCTCCTGTTGCTGTCCCTTGGGAAGATATGGGGTGGGTTTTGCTGGGCTGTGACCAGTGTGGGGTTCAGTGGCAGATTGCTCTGGGTGCTGAAAGGGTTTGGAGGAATGGAAAGTGTGAGTGTGGGGATAGCACTGTCACTGAAGGGACACAGTGCTGAAGGACGCAAGTGACGGGTCCTTGGGCTGAGCTGGTCGGGGCTCTCCTGTTGCTGTCCCTTGGGAAGATATGGGGTGGGTTTTGCTGGGCTGTGACCAGTGTGGGGTTCAGTGGGAGGGACGGGGCAGCGTAGGGCTCTGCTCTGAGCCTCTCCCTTCGCTTGTGTCTCTTGCAGCTGCCTCGAGAGCCAGGTCAGCGATGACACCGTGGAGCCTCGCGAGGACGCGGGGAGGCCAGAGGACGAGCAGGAGGCCTCCTCGCACTGCCTCTGGGTGGACAGGTTCACTCCCCGGCGCTACACCGAGCTGCTCAGTGATGATGTGAGTGCTCCTATGAGCGGGGTGGGTTTGCCATTTTCCTAATTATTCTTTAATGCTGGGTTTTGCAGCAGCCTGTGCTAGCGTGGCTTTTGGAAATGCTGCCTGGGGGACTCTGCTTGTGTTAGAGCCCCTCATAGGTGGTCGGGGCAGCTTTTGCTTTGGAGAGCTCACAGCAGTGTTTTTTGCAGCTATTTGCTGTGGACCTTTAGGCTAAAGGGTCTATAAAAAAGATAACCAAGATAACCAAGGCTATGGGGTGGACTTTAACCATCTAGCCTCTATTGGAAATTGTGTACAAAATTAGAATTGCAAATTGGGAAAGGCTGAAAACCACTGGATGGAGCAGAGGCATGCGAGGAAGAGCAAAGATGGTGCAACTTGTCCTTGTTTCCACCATGAGCTGAGCAGGGCAGGGAAGGGGAGCTGCTTTCCTGGGTTTTGACCGTGCCTGTCACACAGTGGTGTCTCATGGAAACCCAGACAGCCCCTTGTGTGCAGGGGGGAAAAGTGCCAAGTGCTCAAGACCTGTCTGGGCAGACACGTTGTGTATTACCTCCTTTGGGCTGGCATCTGAGCAGCTTGGCTCGTTCTTGTGCATGCAACACAGGTTGTAGGCCATGAAGGAGAGGCCTTTCTCTCTCCTCGTCGGGATGCTCCTGAGGTTCAGTGCTGATCACTTTCTTCTGCATCTGATGTTCAGTACACAAACCGCTGCCTCCTGAAATGGCTCAAGCTCTGGGACACGGTGGTGTTTGGCAAGGAGAAACCTGTGAAGAAAGTGAAGCCCAATGCTGGGGCTCATCCTCCGCTCAAACAGCCCAAGGAGCAGCAGAATAAGTGGAAAAGTAAGGTCCAGCTCACAGAGGAGATTCTGGAGGCTGAGCTGGACCAGTACAAGAGACCCAAGTACAAGGTGAGCAGGACAAGATGCAGATGTGATGGGTCTTTCCCTCTTGTTCTCCTGATCCCACCACTGTGGTGGGGAGCAGACTGCTTTCAACACAAAAGGAGAAATTAGATTCCTTGTTTCTCTTTTAGTAAATATGAGATATTTCTCATTTTCCTTTTTCCTTTCAGCTTATATAGTCTGGCAATAGGGAGAGGGGAACAGATTTGAAGATTTTATTTTTTTTCCAGCAAAACATAGGCAGATTGGTTGAAGAAAGATATACCCTTTTTATGGAGAGGTTGTCTTGACTTTACTAGTTCTCTTCTTTCAGCACAAAAAGGAGAAATTGGATTCCTTGTTTGTCCTTTAGTAAATATGAGATATTTCTCATTTTCCTTTTTTCTTTCAGCTTATGTAGCGTGGCAATAGGGAGAGGGGAACAGATTTCAAGATTTTTTTTCTTTTTTTTCCAGCAAAACATAGACAGATTAAATGGTTTGGTTAAACAACCAGGAGAGGTTGTCTTGACTTTACTAGTTCGAGGCAGACATGACAAGATGTTCTGCATCCTGCAAAGATCAATGCTGATGAGGCAGTAAAGGGAGCAAGGATAACACACTTAGGCCCTTCTACCAGTGCAATGAAAGGATCTAAAAAGGAGAAACAAAAATAGTTAATAACAGTATTGCTTTCTGTGGATATAATGCTGGAAAGGTTTTTGTTCAGCATTCAACTAAAAATGTAAGCAAATCGTTGTATCCATGAGACGCAGCTGCCAGGGGGTCCTGGATGAATCCCTGTCCTGCTGCGTGCCCGGCTGATGTCCCCCTCCGCAGGCAGCGCTGCTGTGCGGCCCGCCGGGGCTGGGGAAGC